TTATCGATATTTTCCCAATATACATACCTTCTCGCAATTGTTTCATTTTAACTATGCCTATGTGTGTATGGTGTAATTCCTTTAGTACTTCTTCTTGAAGACTTCTAGATATTATAATCCGCTGACGCTTGAAAATTATTCCGTTTTGTAAATGTAGTTCTGAATCGTAACAATATTTGTTTAATAAGTCACTTTTAATCTCTAGCTGTTTCCTTTACTTGAGTTTTGTAGCTTAATGAACCGTTTGAAATATTGTATACTGCTTCATTAGATATCAAATCCATTTCTGTATTTAATTCTTCTTCTATTGCAGTAGTTTCTTCTTTCAATGGTGTTCTAGATAAATAATCTGCATGTGCATTTTCCTCTGCTGGTCGATGTTGGATCATATAGTCAAAATTGGTAAGCCAGGCTGCGTATCTTAGCAACCTAGCGGAAGTCATTGCCGGTAGGTTGGTACTTTCATGGAAAAATCCTGCTTAATGGTTTATTATCCGTTATAAGGGTAAAAGTTCTACCAAATAGGAAATAATAATTTTTTTTCAAAGAAAACACTATGGCCAATGCCTCTCTGTCCAACTGACTATAGTTCATTTCAGATTTTGAAAGTGATCTTGAAACGAATGCGATTGGCTTTTCTATGCTATCAACTATGTGAGATGGTACTCCTGCTATGCCAGTTGGAGAAGCATCGTTATCTACAACAAGAGGTAATTCTGGGTAAAAAGGTACTAAAACTCTTTCATTAGCCATCTCTACTTTTAGTTTTTTAAAAGCTAGTTCACAATCCGATGACCAATGAAATTGTCTTTTCTTCTGGGGTAGTAATCGAAGTGGGTGAGTTATTGTTGAGACATTTGTGATAAATCTTGAATAATATCCGACAATTCCTAAAAATCTTTTGACAGCGTCTTGATTTTGTGGTCTCGGGGCTTCTGTAATTGCTTCTATCTTTGAAGGATCCTTTGAAATTTTATTCTTTTCAATAACGTATCCAAGATAGTTAATTTTTGTTTTAAAAAATTGGCACTTCTTATGGTTCAAATGTAGATCGTATGTTTGGCCTTTCTAGGCAAGCACAAAGCCTACTGTGACACTGTCAGGGTTGAACCATGTACGATTATGTCATCAAAATAGGTTGTATTGTAACGCCAAGAAGACCTGCCAGGATCTAGTCTATGATGCGATGGAATTCGCTTGGAGCCGTCTTGATTCCAAAAGATAGACGGTTGAATTTAAATGTCCCTTTATGGGTTATAATTGTTTGTATTCTCGCACTCTCTGCATCTACTGGTTTATGTAAATATGCCTTAAATAGGTCCAATGTACAGAAAAATTTAGAATCTCGTAAATTACTCAGGATATGATCTATTTTGGGAATCGGGTAGTGCGCTGAGAGCAGCTGGGGATTAACTCTACACAAAGTCTAACTGACCCATCCGGCTTAGGTATAACGACTAGCGGTGATGCCCAATCACTGACTTGAATCGGAGTTATAATTCTTCTTGCTCTAGATTATAAAGTTCTTCTTACACTTTAACTTTGAAAGCAAAGGGAACTTCTCTTGTCTTAAAGCATACTGGTTTTGAATTTTCTCTCAATTTTAAATTACATTGTGTAGATTTTGGGCAACCGATTCGTTGCTCGAAAATTTATTTGAAATTTAGATAAATATTTTGTAAGAGATTTGCAGGATTTACGCATGCAATTGAGTTCTTAGAAGGTATAGAAGTATTTTTGTACAGAGACTCCTTGCTGTCCAAATCATCTAACTTGATGTTTAAGTGCCTTATCCAAGTACGGCCAAGTAACGGTGTTAATCCGTCTAGGAAGAGAATTTCTTTCGATAGAATGTTCTTATATTGTACGGGAACTTCTACATAACCTGATGGAACAACAAGTCCAGATGTATAGGATCTGAACCGTATGTTTGTACTTTGCATTTTCGCATTTAGATGGAGCTCATACAAATTAGTTTTGGGTAATAGTGTCTGTCTTGCACCTGAATCAACTTCAAAAGTTTGGAATTTATTTTCTATTTTAATAATGACAAAATATTTTTGCGCATTTTGAAATTTTTTTGAACTGTTTGCTTTGCGTAAATATGAATAATTGGGTAGATATTGTAAGCTTCCGATGAGCCTGAATCAGAATCTGTGTCTTCGTTTTTGACGGAGTTAATATTTTTCTTTTCAGAAACCAACTTTTTCTACGTGTCCTGTTTATATCTTCTTCTTTATCACCTTATCTTCTTAGGATTATCCTTGGCGTTGTGATTATTACGACCACAGCGAAAACATAGTCCATCGACTCCACTAGCGATCTAGGATTTAATTTTGGGGTCGTTATACCAAATAATACTTCCTTTGGTTCTCGACCTCTCTTTCCTAGTCCCCTATCCTTTTCTCCATCCAGTATTATCTATATGGCGATGATGTTCAAATTTATTTTTCCCTTGACCCTGCTGATTTCTCTAACGCAGTCATGAAACTACAGGAAGACAACAGAATAAGAGCTTGGGCATCTTGCAATAAGCTTACCCTGAATGCTGAGAATACCAAAGCCTTTCATGATCGGTTTTGACCAAACCCTCTCTTAGAAACAACATTTCTCCTAAATTTCCCACCGGATTGTATCAATCCTCAAACAATTCAATCACTTACATTACCTCCTCTCGTGTAAAACCCGATAAGCAACTCCAGGTTTCATCCCTTGTGTTTTTCCACCTTGATTATGACTGTCTGGTGTAAGGTGGACTCCGGCGATCTTGCAGCAAGTCTCAAAAGGCTTATGAATTGCTTAGTTAGAGATACGGCAGTATTATGTCGAGATAAAGTGGTTCAAGAGCTTTATCCATCTGTTTTTCCTTGCATCCTTCCTGTATCAGGTAATCAGAACTCGGCGACCACCCTACATATTATTGAGCATGCAATTTAAATCATCCATCAAATCCGGTTGCACCCGATCTTATCCTTCCCTGACTTCTATCCTCCTCACTGAACTGCAGTGTTTAACAAATTCTTCCTCATCTGGAAGAATCGAGCTGCCTCATTCTGGAACTCATCCCACCTGCCATCCACCATGCTTCAACATATTTAAAGCTCTTGAACCACCTTTTCCTCTACCAATCCAATTATTATTATCACTTTTTTGACCATTAAATGTTTCCGAGTTCATTTAGAGCTATGCATTCACTTTCTTATTACTATTGTCATTTTCATTTTGTTTATTTATTTTCTTTATGTTATTTAGTTCTAAAGCAGTTTTGTTATTTTAGTCAATGTAATGTCAGGCTTAGTCCCAGAATAATAAAGAAATTTTTCATTTTAATTTTTACCTAAAGAGTTAAAGCATCTGTTTATGAAACTGAATAAGTTGTTCAAGAGGAACTCGATGCTCTTTGCTCAACTAGTAGTTCTGTTCTGTTCTCAATAATTCCATTCAAATCTTCCTTAGACAGAATGCACTGGTTTTCCACACCCCAAGAGAGTATTTTGTAACTCTGTTCCCAAGTTGAAAGGCAGCCTTAATGAGTGTGAGATAATACTTTTTGCACAAGCCACCATCTGAGAACCCTAAAATTTGTTGACACAGACAAACATAGCATCCTTTTCATGAATTTAAGGATCTCTTAATATCAATAAAAGTAGCTATTACTTTTCTTTTTTGTGCCAGGGAACTAAATTTAATAAATGATCATAAGATCAGTGACAGCCTTAGAGTGGGGCAATTGCCCTGAGGCACTGACCTAGAAGGGCGCCAGTCAGTCTTCAGTGAAGCTCGCCACTTGTAAGAAATTAAAAAATAAAAAATTATTGAAGTAATTAATTTTAGCCTATCAGTAAAGCAACTATATTTGTTTAATGAAATTTTTGCCCAGGGGCACCAAATGTCTAAGGCTCGCACTTCATAAGATGAAAATATAATCCCAACAAACCTTTTTTTTTCTCTTAAATCCCACTTGTATATTTGGCCACAGTTTCTTCACTTCTACCAATTTTATGAGACCGTTATATGCTATGGAAGCAAAAGTTTTTAAGATGTAATTCAGCAAGCAAGGAGATTCCTTGATAATTTACAGAATAACTTTTAGATCTTTTTTTTATTTAGCATAGTCATCTTTATTTTTGTCCAACTGTGGGGTACATGCTCTTCTAAACATATTTTGTTATAAGAGTTTTAATAAGGTGCTTTTCCATTTTTCATCTATCATTTTAAAACATTCATTAGATATATAATAATGAATAGTCAAAAACAAAATTTCCAAATTTTGACTTGAAACTTGAAATACAGGTAAATGGTACAAGCAATGAAAATATTAAAGAAGCTACACTGGCTTTACTTGCCAGATTTTCTTTTCTTTTTTCGATTTTCTTAACATTTTGAATATATTATCCACAGAAATATATAAACTTAACAAGAAGCATTAATTAATTTAAGCCACCATTTAGACATATTAAAAAAATCTAATAAGTCTTTATTTAAGAAGAGATATAAATAAATTAAATTAAAGATTTAAAATTTACCCCAGCACTCCAAGGAATATTTTTAGATTTAACTCTGTACAGTACAGAACATTTTAAAGAAAGATAGAATAAAATTTAAATTCATTTTGGGACAGAAAGAGGATACAATTATTTATGTTAAACCTCATAATTATTAACATGGTCAATTTTAAAATTCTAAAGTTTACAAAATGAATCTCAATCTATACATTCCAGTTAGAATAATGGTTATAATTTATACTTGTTATATTCCTTTTGAATTACCATATCCATGAGCCAGGTAGGGGTAAAATAAAAAAAATTAAAGATTGATTGCTTTCATTATTTTAAAGTTTTAATAAAAAAAGAGAAAAATAATCACATTTATTCATTTATATACATTAGATCCTTGTTCTGCTAGGAACTTCTAATACATTTAAAGAGTTTTCATAAGTGATAGACTGTTTTTCTTTGAGGATCGGTCTCCTAGTATCAATTATTTAAAATTTTAACAATTCAGATAAAAACAATCTTCATCACCATGAGAAAATTTCTTTTAAAGAAACAATTGAGCAAATTCTGAAATGTTTTGAAACTTAAAAAGTTGTGAAAGTAAAATCAATCTAATGTTTTTAAAACATCACAACTAGGAAATATACATTATACCACACTAAACAAACTGGCATTAAATTAATAAAAAACCATAACAAAATAAGCAGAATATTTACAGTCAATACATAATAATTCCTAAAAACTCAGAGTATAAATATAATACACTTCCCCATTATAGAGAGAGTCATAGCACTTGTAAAAGAAAACCAATGTTTTGTTATTTATTTAACTTTTCCCTTCTGTACTATTCATCATGATCCATTATTCAGCATCCATATGATAAGAACCAATCAGCTCTCCAAAATAAACAGTCACTGCTATCAATTTTTTTCCAAGAAAGTTTTGTTCTAATTCAAGACTTGAGCCATGACCAGCTAACTTCAACAACTAGAATCAACAATAAAAAATATTGTAACAATTTACAAATATTTTTAAAGAATATATGATTTTTGTTTGTTCAATCTTAAAAAATAAAAATGGAAAATCCATGTCATTTGATTAAACTAAAACCCACCTCATCTGCAATTACGTTTCTTGGAAGAAACATAGCGACATTAGGCGTGATGCTAGCTGCAGAAGAATAAAGAGCTTCTCCACCAATGGGAGGCATTATCCTGTCGAGGTTATATGTCGGCTGCGAAGCATAATCAGGTCCACCCCAAGGTGGCGACAAAAACACAACATCACCTTGCAATGTAGGTGCAAGCTTTAAAAAGTCTCCAACAATAAATTCTATGCGATCTTCTACTCCATATACTTTGGCATTGTGCCTTGCAAGTTGTATTTTCTGAGGATCGATATCAATAGCAATTACTGAAACAATAAAAAAAAATTAATCCACTAAAATGAAGCTATTCATTACTTATCAGCCAAAGGCACGCTCTTTGCAATAGTCTTCCAAAAATACCACAAAATATCAAGCAATAGTAATTGTTTACTGTTAGATGGTGACAGCCAGCTTTCATATTTTCTGAAATTTATTTGATTAACATTTCTTGAGGAAATAAATGCTCCAGTGGTGGTCAAGAAGATATTCTTAAATACTAAAAACTATTATTTGAAAGCAAAATTTTCCGATTTACTGTGCTGATCTTCATTTGTGAAACAGTGTTGAGATAAAGACTGAGTAGCGTAAAGAGAACCATCCTTTCCTTATTTTGATAGTTTGGGATGTAGGTCACACCAAACGGTTCAACATTTTTGAAGGTCACCTTATTTCTCAAATTTGTGCTTAAGTTATCTTACGATTTAAGTGGAAAACAAATGGGTATTTACAAGTTTTTAATACCTAATGAAATAGACAAAGTTTGCCGACCTCCAGATTGAAAAGGCACCAATTCCGAGAATATTTGTAAATGAAATATTTGTAGGATACAATGAGTGAAGTTATTTACGAAGTTTCAGCCGGATGTTAATAATTTGATAAAAATGTGTCAGTACAACCGACTAATCATACTCAGTTCCATTAATTCCTAAACTTATCAAGTAAAGAAAAGCACACATAAGAAAACTTGTTTTAATGTGCAACAATGCTACAGCCTAAGTTGGAGGCATTTAGCAGGGTTTTAAAATTGCAAAAAAGGAAGGTTTACTGATGAAAATGATATTTTAATTTTTTAATAACTACATATGAAATACATAGCACCTCCGATTCCAAATCATACATTGTGCTGGGAGGAATTTGAAAAATTGGTATGGGACCATCTAGGTACCAATCTGAACATTTTCTGAAAATCAGATAAACGGTAGTAGGTGTTTAGGCAACTTTCCAAATTTAATTAAAGTAAAGACAAATAACTCTAATGAGTTCAACATAGGCAACATTCGACTTATTTTGGCAGTGGACAAAGTAATTTATTGATAAAGTGGTAGATTATATGAATTCTGTAAAATAAATTCACCATTTTATGCTGGCATAGACATCTTACTTCACTGAGAGGGACGTCCAGTCTGCTCCAGTTGATGCCTTTGGGAATCTCTGCCTAGGCATGGGATGAGTGCATCTGGTAGCTGGTGCGGATTAAATTTTATCTTTTAGATCTTATCTGATCTGTTTTCACTATTCGCCGCAATGCGACAATCGGGTGTAATAGCTTTCACAAAAAACATAAGGTGAAAGGCCCATTTCATTGATAAAACTATGACAGACTAATAAACACCAAACCAAATTTGATGTCTGTAACGTTAAACATGAGTGGAATTTTTCGATTCTGAGCACAAACAAATTTTGAACCTCTCGCACAATTATAATGCTTATACGTTCGGTAGTGAGGAAGCAAAATAGATAAATACAAACTATGAACAAAATTTATTTTATTTATTTATTTAAATTTAACTCAAGTAGAAATAATGATTACTCCAGAATAGTAAGTGGTGGACACCTGACTTTTCCTGATCTTCTTCCATAACAACCATTATCGTCAGTACAAGGCTTTTCTAGCGTTGTTTATTGTTAGTTTAACTGTTCACATTAATTTCGCTAACGTATAATTAAAAAAAAAAGAAATATTAAAATTTTGAGCATTTACTAATATGAACTGTGTCTTTAAAACATTTTATGAGGTAGATGCTTTGGATGATACCCAGAATTTTTAGAAAAGATTTAGTCTTACATTTTTTAAATTTAAACAAGTTTTAAAAATTTACTTAGCAGCATGCAACTATTTGTTGACATTTCCTTTAATTTATATTTTCTTTAATATTTTGAATCCAGCCACGATGTTTTTTAGAGTAATTAATTACTTGACATGAATATGTTATATCTTATATAATTTTTACTTCCATATATAACATTGGCAAATTATTGAATGTGAATCTGCCCAATGTAAATTTTTGATTATGATTATTCGCTACTTATTACAACATGTACATATATATCTACTAGATATATAACTATATATACTATATATATAAGCTAGAAATTTGTAAAAATGACACTACTGACACCAATCTTCCGGTATCCGTTCAGTTTTGACATTTTACCACAAGGTAGACCTTGGAATACTATGGTAAATGGAAAAATTAAAAATTGTGATTTTTCAGAATAGTTCCTTTAACAAGGAGCCAGCGACATGAAAACATCTATTTCTACTCAAGATAGAGTGGTAAGTAAAAAATCTGATGCTGTGCACACATCTAATAACTTTCACTTACCAACATTAGAGTAGATAAGTATTTTCATGTAGAGGAAAGTCAAAATGAAAACGATGGTAAAACTTCATTTAAAACAATTATTTACGATGTTTTCCCCACCCATCAAATTGGTTAAATTTATAAGTTGCATCAGTTTCCATTTCATTTTAAATCTATGTATAATATCAAACAATACTGATGATAGTGGGGAAAAATTCTCAGGTTTATCGAAAATATTTATCATGAATCCTATCGAAAAAATAACTTAACGATAATAAATATTGTATGTTATTAATAGATCCTCAACATTTTACATGAAAACCTTTTTAAAAAATTATAAAAAGTGATAAATAAAAGTCATTTTTTTAATATAATCAATGGTTACGGAGATATTTATGAGATTATATTTATCGCATTTCTACTTAAAGAAAAAATTGCTCCAAAGGCCAAAATCAATGTTCATAGTAGACAATACTTCTTTGAAGTTTAATTAATTTTTTTTAAACATTTTCGATTGTTCAAAATACTATTCAAAGTTTCTTTCTTTTAGGCCCCTTTCACACCGAAGATGCATGCGCGTCTTGAATCTTGATAAAAGAGCTTTCACACCAAGGATGCACGTTCCTCTCGCATCTTCTGTTTCTATCCATTATCTCTGTTAGTTTAGTACAAGACTTTTCAGACGACGAAATCATAATTTTAATAGTGATTTATATTGAAATAATTATATTTTTTATCTTTTTTCGCAGACCCAAATAAATTATAAGTACATAGTTCTCTTCCCCGTTGATTCGAATTTTTGAGCCAGTGCCTTCCATGACTTCTCTTGTTCATCACTATTTGAGTACTCTTTACTTGTATAATCATATATTGCAGGGTAGTCTTTAACTGCTTTAACAAAGGTCACATTGAAGTTCTCTGTGTCGGGTAACATAGTTGGAGGGTGGATGGAAGTTTCAGGTTTTAAAAGTCACTCAGGAGCTCGTGGTTTTTAGTAAATATTAATCAACTAGCAGGTCCAAAAAATGGATTAGGTAGGACCTGGAAATGTTGATTACATACGAAGTAACAAAAACAAATGGATGATAAATGATACAAACAATTTATTGCATTTTGGCATACAATTTTTAATCTTCCATAGTAACAACAAGAAAAATAGGTAAAAACATATGGAGCAATAATTAAAAATCAGATTAATTGATAAAAAAACAAAAACAATAGTTGATAATAAAAAAGCAATTCATAGAGACGTCAATCACAAAAGCTTAGAGAAAATTGAGAAGGTCCAGGGTAGACTGAGCGTTAGTGGTGTAAGCGGATTTGATGATTGCTCCTCCTCATAAAAATTTTGCTTCAAACGGGACGAGGTGGAAGGGGCGATCATGCAAAACCAGCACAACAAAGATACACGCAGAAAACTTCAGCCGGCTAGTTCCCAAGAGGCAAGGACGCACTTGCATCCTCGCTGTGAAAACTTGCTTTTTATTACACAGTCCAGTGTTTAAGATGCATGCATCCTGCATCTTGCATCTTCAGTATGAAAGGGGCCTTAATGATTCTTAAGTAATTAACAACTAAAAAATGTTTAATTTAGGTTACAATTAATTACTTCATAGTAAACTAGATTAAATGTATGTTAAATTCAAGTAAATCTTGTATTTTTGCTTCCTCACTACCGAAGGTAGGGAAGAGGAGCTTTGTATTTGCGTGAGAGGTTAAAAAAAATGTGCTCAGAATCGAAAATTTTCATTCGCGTTTTACATTTCAGACATCAAGGATCAAATTTGGCTTGGTGTCCGTCTGTAGTCAAATCGATGTAACAGATATATCACCTACTACCGTTTATCCGATTTTAATGAAATTTTCAGAGATTGTGTGGGTTGGCATCAAGATGGTACCATATCAATTTTATCAAAATCCAACCAGCACTTCCACTTGCACACGCGTACATGTATTTTCTTGAATATGCAAGCATTTCAGAAACGGTTCATTCAATTTGGCTTAAAGTTGAAAAAAAAAAAAGTAAGTATTAATAAACAAATAATGTAGTATCAATTTTATTCAATTCCGTTCTCTACTTTCTCTTATATATGCGCAAACGTGTTTTCCATGATACGTCTATAACTCTAAAACCGCACATTCAATTTGGCTGAAATTTGGAGTGAAGTTAGGGATTGGTAAACAGATAATCAAGAATGTATCAATTTTATCAAATTCTATCCACTATTTCCAAAACAAAATACTTTCCCTTTCAGATCAGAAAATGTATTATTTGACAGCCTATAGATTGAAAACAATTCGTTTGATTTGACCCAAACTTGGAGAATAGTATAGAAATTACCTAATATAAATTTCATTTAATCATTTCAATGAATATAAATAATTGTTAACGATACAACGGCTGTGAAATGTGGAAGGCATTTATCATATGGAGTGGGAGTTAGGTTAATACAATATTTTGATGAGGTTATAAAATTTTAGGTTATTTTATACTGTATTGTTGGTTGATTCCAAACGTTAATTGCATTACACTTACTACCGTTACTTAGATTCAGTGTAATTTTCCATTAATTTAAATTGATTGTTACTCTGAGTTCATAAAAAAAAAGCCTTATTTGTGATTGTGTTTATTTATATTAAAGTTCAATCAGCTCGTCGTGGTTTCGATTATCTCCTTAAATATCAAAGTTCTGTGAACTTCACGCATATTTTTATATTCCAGCATAATTATTTTTGTTCTGACTGAAGACACTTTCAGAAAAACTTTCTTGTTTGATGAGTTTTAAGTCTATATTAATTAAGTTGTGGTTTGTTACAGAGTAAGTTGAGATTTATCCCTAATTGAGTAAAAAGATGTAAAAATATTTGAGTCGATTCTTTATTTTATCGTACTAATAATATTTTTACTCAATTAGAGAAGATGTAAACTTGACGTAAGTAATATTGACTTAAAGCTCATTGAACAAGAAAGTTTTTTCGAAAGTGTGGGATCTTTGGTTCAGTTGGGGGGATACAAAATAAATTGTGAAGAATCCTTGATTTTATGAAAACCTGAACGTATTGTTGTTTAACTGCTTAAAAGTCCCCTTTATATTTAAAAAAAATAAGACAAGATTTACTTGTAGTTAATGTAAATTTGATCTAATTTACTTTGAAGTGATTGGTTGTAAACTAAATAAAACTTATTTTTAGTTATTGCGTTTTATTCAACATAAATTGTGTTACGTTCAAAAATTACAAAAATGTTCTCTGTATGTAATCAGACCATGGGTTTAAAATTTTTTATAAGTTTTAATATCTTCTGTCACATATTATCAATTATATGAAATTAATGTATATCTAAACTTCATATCAAAATCATGAAATTCCCCATTGATTGATATCGAATATAATTCCGTTGTCAATGACTTTTAAGAACCATTAAAAACAAAAGTAACTTTGAATAATAATTTGAATGATCGGAAATGTTAAAAAACTAATTAAAGGTATCGTCTACTATAAACAACATCAATTTCATGCTTTGGAGCGATTTTTGCTAACAGTGGAAATGGAACAACTATAATCTCATAAATATCTCCGTAACGATTGATTTTATAAAAAAAATGTATAGCGTCATTTTTATAGAGATTTTAAAGTACTTTAATATTGTACTGAACAATCTTTGCAAAAAAACCTCACAGTTTTTGAGATATTTAAAAAAAAAAAAATACCAGTTTTCTGTCCCTCCTCACCTTCCCCATCAAAACCCGATGCGTGATTCTTTGTAACTTTTTACCAGTTATTATGGGGAGGCTAACAAATAATTTATGACAAGTTTCATCTTTATTTTTTTATGTTGGAGTTAATCCCTAATTTTACTGGACTATATATAGTATCCAACCCTTATTTCTCTTTTAGTTACCAATCAATTTTCTTCATTCATTATATTTAACCATTTTTTAAATCACTTTCCAATGTCAAATAGTTAATTATTTCAAATAAAAAAAATTAAGATACTTTAAAGAAATTTTGAAAATTAGGCATTTTAACTGTGCTGTTAGAGAACATCTATGAGGATAAGACCTACTACATTACATTAACAAAAGTTTAATTTTTTACACTGATATAATGGGTTTAATCAAATAATTAGTATCCTTTTTGAGAGAATTGTAAAAATGTGTAAAATCGATGATATAAAGAGGGACTTTGGCTGAGCCAAATAAGTTGCTGTAACATCCCACACATATACAAACATTAAATACCTGATTTTAGTTTCATAAGACTTTTGTTTTAAAGCTAGACTGTTCATGTATACAGTCAGGAACACTGATCATTTTGTGGGACAGACTTGATTGTTTGGACTCAGGGGACCTCAAAACGTATATTTCTGCTAAAAACTGAAATTAGAAAGTTTTCATGATTGCTATAGTCCTCTTAAATTTTATTAGATATAATTTTCCGCTCAAGTACCTCCCCTTTTAGTACCATAAAATTCACCAAATTTCTTGTTTAGACGTTAAAGTACTTTCAATACAAAAATCTCATCTTTTGGAAGTTCTATCATTTTTTTTGTAGTATATAAAGTATCTTTATTAACTCAATATGGGATATAATATTCTCCAACGAGGTTAAACAAGGGGATTAAACTTCTGATGGTGCAATATTATGTATGAAGCCTTAGAGTTGATATACTCTTGACAGTAGTGGCCTAAAAGCCTCTATGTCCCATATTTATCAAGCCGAATAAAAAAGAATTCCTTCAAACTTCGTTTTCTAGTTTGCTGCTAATCGTGAGTGGATGGTGAGGCAGTATTTCCTAATAGTCACCTTTTACAGAATTGTTGCTCATTATCACATTTTATTCCTCAATGGTTATGCTCCTAGATTATATTAGTCATCTACAAATCCTCACCAATGTTTTCTATATTGTACCTGTACTACATAGCATCTTCTTCCTGAATAAGACATACCACCCATTTAGTCCTGCATCTCCTCATGGGATATTGAAATATATTTCGATGTCTCATGAGTTTGATTGCTCTAAATATTCTGAAGTCCTTCTAGAAGAGAACTGTGGAGTTACCAACTTCTTCATGGTGTGAAAAGTATTGTGAAGATGACCAGTACTCACATAACAAATGAGGATCATTTTTTAACTTATCAAGTTATTATCTGTGACCACAAATACACGAACAGTGAAACAGTCTTGTTCAATTTCAGTGCTGGTTGGCTCACTCTTGTAGAACAGACCTTAGGATAGTTACTAATAATAGGAAAGAAGCATGTAGTTCTAGATAAATCATGAAAAACATCTTTTTATAATTGATGATTATACATTTACAATCAAATACAGTCAATATTAAGAATAATATACTCAACATGTTACTATATTATAAAAAAAAAAGGAATACCTCGTTCACAGGTAAAAGCAAACTGAATAGTGTTCCCTCCTGCACCACAACAAGCATCAATCATAACATCACAACGACACCTCTCAGCTGTATGACTAGACACTTTTTCTGGAGTGACAGAGTACCAGCTTTCTTCATGAGGAAAAAAAAAAATATATATATAAAATAAATTTCCTTAAAATATGTCACTGCAGATGGAAAATTAAAACAAAAATATGAAAGTAAATTTTTATGAGAATATAGTCATTGAGTATACATTTGTTGGAACTAAACTTTTAAGTACATTTTTGTGGATTTAAATCTTAATTATTGAGGTAAAAACATAATAATTAAACAGTAATAAGTTAACAAACCTTCATCAAGTTTGATTCCTTCGTCAAATCTACTAAAAAGACGATATCTTTTGTACCAGTATTTCAATAGCTTTTCATTTTCTAACACCTCTTTAGGTAAACCTTTTCGTTTCTTTTTTTTTTTCCTCTTTTCCTTCTTACTCATTTCCCCTTCTTCAGAAGCAGAAAAGAATTCACTATTCGAGCTATCATCTTTTTCAGAAAAGTCTGATTTATTATCTCCTGAGCCCGCTAAATGCCAGACTTCAAAATCTTGTGATTGGTCTTCCTTTTTCTAACAAAAAAAAAAAAAGAAAGAAAAACAATTAAAACTAGAGTTATAGTTATGGACTAACACCCTAAATTTAAAATTATTTTAACTGGTGGATCAGTATAAAACATTGAAACTACACTGGAGAATTTTTGTTTATCAAAAACCAGAAAACTTTTTTGGAGGATAGAATGATTAAATTTAAACAATTTAATAATTATCAACAATACATGAGCTGAAATTTCAAGATCTCAAACACGAACATAAACTTGAATATTTAACAAGAAGACAAATGGAAATTGACATATACGAATATTTAAACTTGGTGTAACAATCATAGGGAGTGGGGTACCTCAGTGGTAGGGCACTGAGCTTCCAATGCAAAGGTCCCAGGTTCGAACCCCGGCTCATGGCAGAAAATTTATTTATCTGTTTCACTGGCCGTGGGGCGACCCTGGGTTTGGAAGTCCCTCCTGGGGCACACCCAGCCTCTATAAAAGTGGGTACCCTTAATTAAATAATTGATTAAGGGGGAAAACCTGGCGGTTGAGCGTGATCTTGGTCAAATCATCTCCTTGCATAACCGTTGACCTAGAAACAGTACTTTCCCTAAATAGTACTGAGCCCCAGACCCTTCATGGGTTGTAGTGGTACAGGTAACAATCATATTCCTACCACATCTCAAACGAAACTAAAAACTCTTTACCATGTTGACATGCACCGATACATGGAATAAAATCATGCCAGGAACTGTAACGAATAGTGAAAACCACCAGACTATTACTGTACAAAGTTGGGTATACATTATGCTGCGAACCAATGGTGCCTAGCACTCCCGTAACTCTGGTGATGAGGACAGAGTTTGTGAACACGACTGCTGTGTAGTGTTCAGGTATTCGTTGAAGGAACAACATGTCGTCCGAGCTAGTGGCAAGTGTTGCCTACATTTTCATCCATTATTTAGTAGACAATAATAGAAAACTCCTCTTTATTGGTGAGCAAAATTTTATGAAGAGACAGCTGAAAACGATATGATGTGAAGGCAAGGAGCACAGACGAGTAGATTATGGTTTATTCTTTGCATTAGAAACTTGAATAAATACTTTTCATTCAACTTAATTTTGCTTGATGAGATATCAAATAATTACAAAAATAAGTTCAAATAAAAAATATTAATTTTTTTCTTAATTAATTTGAATTATCTTCCATAATTATTCTTTTTAATTTTTTTCTACTTTATTTTTAGTAACTCAAAGTTTCAAAAACACTAAATGCAAATAAACTTGAAACATCACAATCCTTGAAGGGCCTTAGGTCCAGTCGATTTAATTTAATAATGTAGTTTCTTGACCCGGTGTTATACTAGATGTGAACAGTATCCCAACTTAACCACAGAGTTTATGCCCCAAATCAACAAAGGTCATAGGAGAGTATTTCTACCAGAGATGGGGAACCTTTTTATCAATAGAGCCTGCAGTAAGGTTTGGCAGTGGTAACGGCGGCTGTATTATTTTTTTTTAGATTTTACTATTACAATTTTTATGTATAAGTAAATACACGCCCACATACATATGTTCAACTCAATTCTATTAATTTTCATGCATAAGACATTTTTCGTCCATCCACTTCATTGCACAATGTTACACACAAATGACAAATGTTAGCAGAAGGGCGTTCACGAAATTCCTCTATTCCCTTTTGATTTCGAGCAAACATAGAGAGCCTAATATGTCCGCAAATTGTTACAGAATTGGAGCACTAAAACATACCCACTTGTTACATACCTGGAGTGGAGTTTGTTCACAAACATAGTGGATACCTAGCTCAAAATGGAAATAGTATACAAGCCAGGAGAAGGGAATGTGGTAGCAGACTGGCTATCTAGAGCTATTATGGTAAACTCTGAAGAGGACTGAGAGGAACCACCCAAGGGATGTCCAAAAATTTTTAAGGAAGTGGATGCCAGATGGGAGGGAGAACAAGGCACAGTAGAATTGAATGATGAAGGAGTTCCAGAAGAAGAAAGAACGACTGATATGGAGGAACTAAATTATCAATTAATTATTGAAATTATCAATGACAAGTGCAGATGATAATTAGGAAAATTAGCACCTTGGGAAAGTACAGCATAGCAAGTATGACAAAAGTAAGATCACAAACATCTGGTCCCATCCGGGAGCAATAATAAAAATAGCATGAATAAAAAATAATAGATAAATATATATTATATTCATATATAAAAAACAAATGAATAAGTACTTTTGAAAAAGAGTAGTTTCAAGTTTTGAAATTTAAATAGATTTTAATAATATTTCTGAGGCATTGCATTTCATTGTGAATACTTCTTTAATCATTCTCAATAACTTTTTTAATTTAATATGAACTAGAATAAGGTTTGAAAACTTAAAATTGCTCTCTTCAAATACCAACCAAAAGCATCTATGAAAATATTTACCACGTCATTTCCAAAAGCCTGTTTCTTAAAACAGTCAAACCTATGTCTGAAGTTTAGAGCTCTGTTCTGCCACCTGATGTTTCTTTTCCTAAATATCACTGATCCACTTTTAACTTCTTCACCACTATAAGCCATTCCAATAAGATCAAATGCACTTTTTAACCTATTGTCTTCTCTCTCATTTCTAAATAGAAACATGATTTAACAGTTTTAATAATTCACATCTAATAAATACAAACAATATTTTTAATTGGTAATTGGTTGACTGTCGTGGATAATGAAGAGAAGAATAGTTGGGGTGTTCAGTCAAAAAGGAAGGCAAAAATAAATTATAATATTTATTTTTTACATAAGCCGACGTTTCGACCTGAAGTTCAGGCCTTCATCAGGGCTAAGAAAATAACCAGATAACAAGGTATGAGAAACATAAGTAATGATGGTAAAAAAGATAATAAAAAATAAAAAAATTAAAAAAAATTATTAGAAAAATAAAATAGATAGATATAAAGTAAAATGAAATTGTTAGAATAATGACTAAGAACTAAGAGATAAATAATAAAAACTGTTACATAGTGTGGAATGATGAAGTAGGCATAATCAAAAAGGGGTGACAAAAGTGTTACATTGGGAATCTTAGAATAAAATGTAAAACATAAAAAAGAAATATAAAGTTATATAAGAAATGAAAATAAATAGTAAAATTAAAACATTGAGAATGGAGTAATTAGATAGAAAATTGAGATATTGTAAAGTCTATCAAGATGTACAGACAATGTATAGTCATTATTCTAACAATTTCATTTTACTTTATATCTATCTATTTTATTTTTCTAATAATTTTTTTATTTTATTTTTTTTTTTTTTATTATCTTTTTTACCATCATTACTTATGTTTCTCATACCTTGTTATCTGGTTATTTTCTTAGCCCTGATGAAGGCCTGAACTTCAAGTCGAAACGTCGGCATATGTAAAAAATAAATATTATAATTTATTTTTGCCTTCCTTTTTGACTGAACACCCCAACTATTCTTCTCTTCAAACAATATTTTTCAAAAATTAATAATATTCTTATTTTGTCATTTAAGGCATAGAGATAAATCAAAATTGACTGTAGAAAACAAAAATGTTGACACTCATTAATGAAACCAATCTAAATAATACCTAACAGGACTTTTAATGCAACAAAATGTTTTATAACATACATAAAAAATGTTTCATAACTTTGTTATTATTGCATTAAACCAAACAGAATTTGTTTTTACAGAATTACATGGGCTGATAAAGATAAGAATTGACATGTACATGATTTAGTTTCACTGACAACACACTTTAAAACTTCATACATCGATTTTCTATAAGGTGTATATATCACGTAAGTAAGGATTGAAAATGGCAAATTTCATATCACAAACGAGCATTGGTGGACATTTTTAAATTATTTTGAAAAAGTGCTGCTGAAAGTTATTGTATCCTGGAAGGTTATAAGGAATATGTTCCAACTTAAGATACTTCTGAAGGTTGGGGTTGGTTTTATTAATACTTCTATCTTCTGTTCATTATACCAAGATTTGGTGTCTTGAGGTTTTCATTTTTCACATAAATTGAAGGCCTTATTCCACCAACATTTTTTTATTTTATCTTGACAACGTTTCGGCCAACACTAGGGTAATTCTCAAGTCTGGAAAATTTTGTCATTAGTAGATTACAATTTAATTACGCTTACAATTAAAAGATTAGTGTTGGCCGAAAAGTAAAGATAAAATAAAATGGTGGAATATGGCCTTTAATTTATAAAATTAACACTTCTATCTTTCAAATAAAAGATAAAAATCATCTCACTCAACAATTAAAAAGTATGAAAAGGTTTTTATGCAAGTTAAATACACGTCCACTGAATGGAAAAATCATCTTTGTAACACCTCAATCTTACAAAAGAAAATGTATCTGCATAAAATTACTACTAGGTAAGATAAATGTATTATTTTTGAGAACTTCAAGAGCAAAAAAATGATAGGTTGAACCAGGTTAACAATCAGAATCATCTGCAAGGTTCAATCACTAGAGAAGGAAGACGGAGCCCAACGTTAGGTGGGATTAGGAAGTTATGGTGAATTATGAATTTGTCAAACGAGGAGAAATTGATACTAATTGCTACTGAGAACAAATAATTAATTATGATTTGACCAAAATAAGCCAAATTAGTTTTGCTTGTTCATAATATATATACTATTACACACTTAAAGGATGTTGTCTAAGAAATATCACCATTCCCCATATTTCGCTTATGCATATTAACACTTGTTTGAATCATCTGAAAGGACGATATATAATACAAAATATGAAATTGGCTCTTTAAACAAAAAAATAAGTTTACCTCAAAAAAAAAAAAAAAAAAAATATATATATATATATATATATATATATATATATATATATATATATATCAACATATTACCTGCAAGATGAAGGAAAATGGATATTAGAAGCGATAAGACATTACTTTGAATAAAATAATTTCAATATTTCTTTCAAAATCATAGTGGGTTTTAGTGCAAAATCTGTATTAGTACAATGGTACATAATGGTGTAGACGCAATTAATGAACAAAATATTAAATTTAAATAATTAGTAATGTTCTTTAGGGTCACTTTTACCTTCCTTTAATTCTTAATCCTTCAATATCTCCAACCTGAGTAGACAATCCAGCAGCAAATGAATCATTCAAAGTTTTTGAATTATTTTCTGTTGAATACGGTGTAGAGTTGGTATTCAATGAATCGAGATTGGCACAATTTACTGATTTTGAACTGACTTCAATAGGTTCTTCATCATCAGAATTATGACTACTACCATCACCCTTAATATCTGTTTCCATACTTATTGATTTTAAATCTTCTAACAAATTTTTAACCAAGTGATGTTTTCTGGAAAAAAATATTATTTTATTTTCAAGTTAAAATTTCAAAGTAATATTTATTTTCATTTATAAAATAAATTATTACTTAAGCTATTAAGCCGAGTAAATTTAGGCTAAAACATGATCGATATCCTAATAATTAATAATGAACTGAAAACGTGAGGATTGGCTCCTCGTTAAATGTAGAACAAACCGTGAAAAGTCTCCTGATTTTTCATATACAGTGAATAAAAGATAACTGTCAAGGATTTTGTTTCGTTATATTTTTCTAAAACTCTTAGTTAAAAACCAATGTTCTTTAACTTTGGAATTACGTAAGCAATTGGCATGGATGCTTGTTTTGAATTACATCAAGATTCATCTGATAAAAAAAATTATGAATTAGCTATAAATTGATTTATTTGTGGTAAAAAAGTTTAATTCTATCATGGGAAATTCATTATTGGATAAGTGGCTATGATTGTTTTTAAGTTTATTTGACTACTTTGATTGAAGTGGTGGAATTGAATTACATTGAAAGTCTGTTCATGAACATTTCCATAGACAAAGTCCTACTACCAACTATTGAACCTCATACCTCCCTTGATCGCTCCTTATATCTTAAATCACTTCAACTATTGTAAATCTGAATACCTTACGTTCCACGATAAATTCTTTTACCAAATTTCAAGACTAATCATGGACAATCCTTTTGCACACCTGACCTGGCCAATATTGTACTAACAACTCACTGAATTCCACTATTGTATATATATATGACCAGTTGGAATACAGATTTAGTGGGTTAAAATTTATTTTGTTGTGGACCCACGGAATGAATCTTGACCTTCTCAGTCTGGTTAGAATAGAATAGGGATAGTAATCCAATAAAAAAAGAAGAAAGATGACATCTTAATCCGAAAATATATAGACGATCTCTTATTAGTTCTTAATCCAGATAAAATTTCCAATATCCTCCCAACCTTTAATTCTTACTAACTTGCCTTCATTTTACTGAAGAATGTGAACCAAATAATTCTCTTACTTTTTTCAACCTCCTTATCTTTAGAAATCCTAATAACATAATATCCACTGACTGGTATAATAAACCAACTTATTCTTTCAGATTTTTGAATTTCCACTCCCAACATTCTTATCATTAAAAACTTAATCCAGCCAAACACCTTAAACCTTCCGATAAAACTTCTATCTTAGTCTCTGTTTCCAAATCATGACAAATGACACCTCGAAAAGACTTTATATCCAACTCAAACTTCGACTAGTAAATGTAAAAACTGACAACTTATTCCTGACTTATTTTCCAAAACTGAATATATTAAAAAATCGATAGTTCTTTTCCATCTCTCAATTCTGTCCTTTATGTCTTTCACATTTCATATACAAATTCTATTAGCTCTTTTATTTTTTTCCACATTAATATTACAGTTTTATATATATATTACTATTATTATTATTATAAACAAATTTAAAATATCCAAAATATATTTTCTTTAGTTATAATAAAACTATATAACTTGATCACAACAGCCCAGTTTATTTCTTTTTCTACACCCACATTTCAGCCCTTAGGCCACTTTCAAGAAAAGAAAACTTTAATAAATAAAACAATCATCACAGCTTAATTACACTTCCTTATCAATTATATATTGATATATTACTTTGTTTCCCATATGTATATCCCTGAAAATTTAAACATGGAACCTTATACAACAATCCTGCTTGATAATTTTTTCTTATTTTATCCTTTAAAATACTATAATTTTTAATTTGGTTCTTTGGTCTATAACTTAAGGCATCATCTTCCACATCATATTGAGAAACATTGATAAATTTGAAAACCATAAGAACAGTCTGAGACACAATATAATTAGAAAAATTGGTAACATTGTAGATAGATATAGAAAGAACCAATTAAAAAAAAACACATAAAATATTTGAAATGTGGAAAATTGATTTGTAAGCATTATTGAAATTTAAAAAGAAAGTCCAAATATATTAACAGTAAAATCAGATAAAACTAAAAAAAAGTAGCTATAATGACAAGGAAAGAATATGATGATAGCAAATGATATTAATATTAAATGAAGACAGAGACTATAGGGATGCATTTTGGAAGTAGTATGATATGGCAGTGTATACAAACTACAGGGATATATAAATTATGTTTAATTTAAAAGCATACCTATTATTACTGTTACTTTTAGTCTTCTTCCTTTTTATTAACTGAGGAGGCTGATCAATCTGATTCATTGGAATCCACTTATTTGAGGGATAAGATGAAAGACCAGCCAAATAACTCTGGTAAGCAATGTTGTATTGTGTATTAAAATGGTCAATCCAGAGGGTTTGCCATTGAGCTACATCGACTGAACCAGAACCAGCTGAGTCGGATGATGATAAAAGAGATGAGTCTTCAGTAGACAGCTCAGACAGTGTCAAAGGAGTGATATTTGTTAGGGAGTCACTAACTTCAGAGCTGTAACTAAGCCGAGTCAATTCACTATTCTCATTCTCTTGAAAAGTCTCCGCTAAAATGTCAGAGTTACCTGAAACAACACTTAATAATTCTTAAATTATTAAGAAAAAAAAAATAATATTTCTATAAATTTTGTATATATGAATGCCAATGCTTAGGAATTATTTTAAAAAATATTTAGGAATATTTACACCTGAAAATAAAAAAATTTCAAGAACACTTTTTTTGTCTCTCTTCCTCTCCTTTTAGGCTATTCGGGATTGAATCTAGAACACTGCAATGCAACTACTACACAACAAACTAACAAAATTAATCTTTATAATTGTAAAAATAATATTTCTTAAATTTCATTCACACATTCTGAGATAATCATAAAAATAATAATTATTTAAACAAAAAAAAACTTGTAATAAGAGATGAGAAATAAATAGATATAGGATATGTTGAATGTTACATTCGTAACTCGGTCATTCCTGTTCAACTAAAGAAAAAATAAAAAAATAATAAAGTTAATAATTGGAATCCCATACGCAAATTAACATTAATTTTTACTTTCACTTATCTATGATATGATAAGTGAATATTGATATGAAATATACAGTAAAGGAAAGCATTGCGACCGTGAAAATTTTCAAATCTAAGTTTTCAATGGATTTACATCTTCTGAGGTCTCCTGAATCCAAATAACCATGTCCCACAAAATGATCTCTGTGTGTATGTGAACAGTTTAGCTCAAAAACGAAAAGTAGTATGAAAGTGAAACTGCATATTTTTACGATTCATTATATCAGTGTAAAATTAAGCAGTATTTAATATAATGTAGGTTTTATCGTCATTGATGTTGTCTAAAAGGGCTTAAATGGTTAATCTTCAATATTTTACTGTCTAAAACACCTTTAATTTTTTTTATTGAAATAATTAATTGAATTGAAATAATTAACCAATTCACAATTAACTCTGATATAAGAGTTTGGCACCCGGGACTGCAGTACAAACTCCGAAAATTCCTACCACCTACATACTTCCTCATTATCCGTTCCTACCTTACTGATAGATACTTTAAAGTAAATCACAATAACGCCTATTCATCCCTTTTTTCCCAGTCCGCTGGTGTTCCTCAAGGTAGTATCCTAGGTCCTATCCTCTATACAGTTTATACAGCTGACATCCCTACCTGTCCCAACACTGTCATCACCACATATGCCGATGACACATGTATCCTATCAGTAAACAATGACCCAGCAATTGCATCCCAAATGCTTCAATCACACATCATAAATCTAGAAGAATGGTGTCAAAACTGGAGAATTAAAATAAACTCCAATAAATCCAACCAGATTACCTTTATCCTTCGTCGTAAACCGACTTCCTGTCCTACAGTTTCCTTTAACAATACTCCACTTATCCCTGTTGAGCAAATCCGATACCTAGGACTCCACCTGGACAAACGACTAACTTGGAATCCTCATACTAGAGTGAAACGACAAGAAACCGCTCGACGTTTCCGATTACTTCAGCACTTACTAGACAAACGCTCTAAACTTCCCATTAATTACAAAAGACTCATATACTTGACTGTAATAAGACCTATCTGGACTTACGGAGTTGAGCTATGGGGCTCCACTAAACCATCGAATTCCTCTCGCATCCAATCCTTACAATCCAAAATCCTTCGTAAAATCCTCAATGCTCCTTACTTTGTCACTAATAAAATTATCCACAAAGATCTTAATATTCCTTATGTTTCAGATCTAGCCCAATCCAGATACCTATCCTTCCATAATAAACTTCAGAATCATCCCAATCCTCTCGTTTCTAACCTTGCTTCCTCTTCAATTCCTGATAACCCTCCGAGGCGTCTGAAAAGAAGATGGCCCCGTGATCTCCTAATGTAGTCATATCATTAGAGTGCTACCATTGGGTAGTTACTCAGCAAGTGTATTCATGTCATTATGTCCAAATTTATTTGATGTGTTTGTCTAATACAGTTGTAAATGTCATTAAGAAATAAAAAAAAAACAAAAAAAAAAACTCTGATATAAAAAATAGGTAAATATAAAATATGAAAGAATTTGATAATTAACAGCGATTTTATAATGTTTAAAGCAATTTTTTCTGAAAGTGTAAATGCCGGCACGCGGGTATGTAAACACTCTCACACGCATACACGCACACTAACAGTGAAATATTTAAGTCTTCCAAAATTTCTTCCCAGACATCTTCCTTTTTTAATTTAGTTCTTTTTTTTATTATTAATATCAGTGTGAGTTTTCATAAAAGAATGAATGACTCCTGACTTGTTCTATCAGTAATTCCATGTCTACCATTGATGTCCATATTGAACAAGGAAATGACTTCGTAATAGTAATATTTTTCAAAAACTTTACTGGCCACAGTGTTATAGAATGTACATACGAGCGTTGATACATATGTTTTGTTTTTTATTTTATTTTTTACTATATTTCAGAGAAAGATTTTGAATACATTCATACTTTTCATATTTTTATTTACAATTTTCAAATATTCATCTAATACATACCATATATCTATTTAATTTACATTTTTGCATAAAAACAATTTTTTTTACTATTACATATATTCTGTAGATAGATATTAATTGTTTCTAAAGATAATTATTAATGTGTAAATACGCAAAGTTTTTTTTAATGGCTGTTTATAACTGAATTAGTTTAGCTAATTTATCAAACACATAAATAATTATTAGAATACTATTGTAATCTAAATATTAATGTAATTATAGTTGAAATAATACAGAATAGTGAAATTATGAGAATAAGTAGGCAACTATAAAAATTTATATAGAAAATAATATTTAGAAAACAGTTATGCAGAAATATAAATCATTTAAAAAGATCAGTATTGTATATATTTTGATGAATTTTTGAAAATAGCCATAGTAATAGTGAAATATTTAATTCACCCGAAATTTCTTCCCAGGCATCTTCCTTTTTTTTATTTTTATTAATAGTCGTGCGAGTTTTCATAAAGGAATGAACTCCTGACTTTTTTCTATCAATAATTCCGTGTCTTCCATTGATGTTGATATTCAACAAGGAAATGACTTCGTACTTCTAATATTTTTCAAAAACATTGCAGGGCACAGTGTTATGCAATGTACCGCTGGGGTGAATCGCCCTCTATGTGACTGTTACAATGGAAAAGAAAGTAATACAACTGTACTGCTATATCGCCTTCTGTGTGACCAGGCTTTCATAATCCTATTAACTTGCATATGTGATCACTTTTCTACCTTAACTAGGTAGAGCATATTGTCGAAGGAGGGCGATATATTTGTAATGTATATAAAATTGTTACTGTCCCAACCGCTATAGCATGTATTGCTCTCTATGTGACTGTTATGAAGTAATAGTAGTGATAAAAATGTAATGCAGGGCGTGTTCTGTGTGTAGGAGCCTTTACTTCTGGGCTGATTTGCTCTCCTTCCCTTATCAGAGTTTTAGGGTGCTTCTCAATGACCTCTTGATTCAAAGGACAGCTATATCATCTGCATAACCTAGGATTTTATGGTTCATTCCAACATGGACTCCTCCATTTTCGTGTGATGTTCTTATCACCTTCTCCAGTGCTAAATTGAACAACATCGGTGATTGTCCATCTACCTACCATAGGCTCGTTTGAACTTTGAATACTTGCTTCGGATACTTCTTCTGGTATTAGGACAAGTCATTTATGGTCATTTGTACAGGCCTTTGTCAATCTCACCAAACAACAATATAATGGAAACTTAATGATGCTTCAAATTTATGGGTTCACTATGATTAAAGTTTAAAAATAACAAAATTTGTTTATTAGAAAAAATAAAACTACTACTTCACAAGTGTCACTACGACATGAAACATGTGCACAAAATCATATGATCACACTATAGATGCAATTCTAAATTTGGTGAAGTATGTTAAAATTCCGATGCAACCAATCAATTATTTTGGTTAAGAGCATAACCTGAAATGAAAAGGATCAAGTGGGTCCTTGTGATATTTGTAAACACTTTCGAGTGAGTACACCGAGAAAATTGTGATCTGATTAAAGCCCTCTCAATAAAGAATTGTTACACCCGTCTCAAATAAAGAATTGTTACACCCGTGAATATATTTGTCAAAACTCGGCATTTTTTGTAATTTTATCTACAGTGTAATCATGTCACCTTTGTAAAGTCCAAAATTATTTTGATTGAAATTTACCTGAGACTATTTGGTTGGCATCTTGTTTCAAGTAAGTAGGATCAATATAATCCCCATATCTCTGGATCCAAGATTCCCAAATAAGACGTTCACCATGTTTTGTCCAATAAGCTTCCCAATCCGGGTCTTGTGGTGATGTTTCTGACAAATCTGCTCCACTATCAGAATGAGGTGCTTCTCTGATAGAGTCATCAGTTGAGCAATGAGAAGCAGAACAATAGCAGCTTACACCATCGTCCTTGTAAAATAAGTTCTGTTAAGAAATGAACAAACTACTTATGTTATACACATACTCAATCAGAATAAATTTGAAGTTTATACTAATAGAAAAGAAATCAACTTATTATGGTTTATCAAATTCTTAAGAGAGAATTAATTGCTAAGAATTGGTGACAAAAATCTTATATTGATTACAGGAAATTTTATCAGGTGTCTATATATAGAATAGAATAGAAGAATCAACTTTATTCTGGGACAAAGTCCTTTAAGAATAACAATTTTGTACATAAAAATTAACATTCCATCTGGCCAAAATACATACTACAATAAAAAAAATAACTAAAAACTAAGTGATAACAGAAGTATTTATCTTATATATATATATATATATATATATATATATATATATATATATATATATATATATATATGAAGAGAAGAATAGTTGGGGTGCTCAGTCAAAAAAGGAAGGCAAAAAATAAATTATAATATTTATTTTTTACTTTTGCCTTCCTTTTTTGACTGAGCACCCCAACTATTCTTCTCTTCATTATCCACGACAGTCATATATATATATAATTATCTTTTGTTATGTGAGCTCATTAAATTTCTCTATACGCCTTTTAAAATTCTTATCTGATATGAATTTTGAGTGAATGGAATAGATTATTTTCTATACATATACCATACAATCTACTAAATTTTCTAAGCAAAACAGTTGATGCAAGGCTTTAAATTTCTAATGCAACCTTATTTCTTCTCTTCCTTTTAATAAATCTGTTCCCATCCTTTTATCTTCATAGGGGCACAGGAAAATCTAAAGGTTCAGATTTTGAGGGTAGTACGAAAATTTAGTAGAATTGGAGATTTTAAGTAAGGGAAAAAAACATCAGACCCATAAAAAATCAAAAAACAAAAAAATTATAGTTGAATCCATCTAACAAACTTCCATAAGGCAAAAATATCTTAATATTTATTTAGGAACCATTAATTTTTAATAATCATCCAATCTTTTAATTTTATTACAAAAAATCGTTTGTTTTAAAGGCTAGAACTTAGTGTGATCCCAATAGCTATTCAAAAAGCAGTATATTCAGGTGAATATCTCATGTGACAAAACACTGGATGGAAGTTCTAATAAGTAAATAACAAATTAATAATTAACTCTGTCTAGATCCTACAACAAACTCAATATAAAAGCATCTTATTAATCTATTATATAGATTGTCCATGCATATACCTAAGCATATTCATAAGCAATATTAATGGACGGAATTTGATTTTGAGAATTAGAATTCTGTACCCAATATACCTATTTTAAAACATAGTGTCTAAGAAAAAGCATTTGGACATGCATAAGCGAATGAAATGTCAAAAAGTTGATACGAGATCATTTATATACCATCACGCATAATTCCTGTACATTTCATGCAAATTGAATCGACATTAGTAGATCTTATTTCCGTCATATACGGATTGAAGTATGTTCATTGACATTTAAAATGCGAATAGCGAGAAAACAATTTTAATTTCTTAGGATAAATTTTTATGTTATCTTCTAGATGATACAAAGCTTCCCTACCTCGGTATTAAGGAAGTAAAAAATTGTATGAATACCGACTTCAATAAATTTTATTATTTCATTTAGTTAGCCATAAAAATAATTATTTTCAGAAAATGCCTTCCTCATTCATAAGTTGGGAAAATCCCTCTTTTCCAGAAAAATAAAATGACCTGACTTTACCCAATTTTCATAGTTTATAGACACGCAGGGGAACGTAATAGATAGGGACGAAGAACACATAAATTTCACAGATTAGACGATACAGAAAAACATAAGATAATTAATTTTTATAATGATGTAGAGTTGGTTGACCGTTGATATGATATGAGAAGGAATTAGTCGAGGGTGCGGTCAAAAAAATAAAAAAATTAAAATATATAAATAATTTTAATTTTTGCCGACGTTTCGACCCACTTTGCAGGTCGTCTTCAGGGCTACAAAAGATACAAACATGTTGAAAAAATAAAAATAAAATAAAAAATAAATATAAGTATATATAAATTACGAAGAAGTTGTCAGATACAGAAATAAAAGATAAAGAAAATAAATACATGATAAGAAAATAGATAAAAGAAAATAAATACATGAATGTTAACGAATAAATGAATGTTAACGAATAAATTGATTGAAAATTGAATAACTATTGTTACAGTAACTATTGAATAACTATTGTTACTATTACTGTAACAATAGTTATTCAATTTTCAATCAATTTATTCGTTAACATTCATTTATTCGTTAACATTCATGTATTTATTTTCTTTTATCTATTTTCTTATCATGTATTTATTTTCTTTATCTTTTATTTCTGTATCTGACAACTTCTTCGTAATTTATATATACTTATATTTATTTTTTATTTTATTTTTATTTTTTCAACATGTTTGTATCTTTTGTAGCCCTGAAGACGACCTGCAAAGTGGGTCGAAACGTCGGCAAAAATTAAAATTATTTATATATTTTAATTTTTTTATTTTTTTGACCGCACCCTCGACTAATTCCTTCTCATTAATTTTTATAGATGAGTACTGGAATACTTCAACAAGAACTCTCACATCAGATGGCTATCCTTCTCCCTAAAACATTCCACATATATAATCCACACAAGCGAAGCATGTTTATTTGAATACATAATATAATATTATCAAGGCAATCTATTACAATGCAATTGGGGAAGCTTCATAATTTACCATGACGTGATTAGCTAATATGGGATAGAAAATATCCCACCAGTTTAATGGTTAAGCAATGAGTACTACATGAGAAAATTTTAAAGAGTTAATAATATTCACTAAAACAGATCCATTTCCAACCACATTCGACCTTCTGATTCATTCCTTTTTATCTTTGTTTAAACCTTCATACAAAAGTTGAACAGTAAAATTATTTCTAACCTCAAAGCATGAAATTATTTCTAACTTTAGTTCCAGGAATTATTATTAACAAACACACTGAATAAAGGAGATCCAAAATATAACAAGTGAAATCAACATTATTTAGAATGGAGAAAAGAGAAACTTGATATTTCACTCTAGGCATTTATAACCCACATAATGGCTATCTTGTAAATAATATTTAAGGTTTTTAAACAGAGAAACTTTACAAATTGTGTGTAACACTACTCAAAACCTTGAAAAAAAAATTAAGTAAGAAAAACTAATACAGTGGCTAACCAGGGAATGACTTCAATATATAACTGAAAGATAGTTCTGTATGAAATAGAAAGTTATTACTGGGAAATTAAAAAACAAGAAGTGATACTAATGTTGGAGTTATATTGCCCACAGAGGTATGGAGAACATCAAAAAATCATTCCTTAAAGCAAATTATTTTTGGGTTATATTCTAGGTATATCAACAAATTGAATAAATAACTATCTAACCACTTTTTTGTATAGTGTGTTCTTACAAGTATTATACCTGTAGGCCTTTCTAATTAAGAGGGTAATGGTCTAGCTTCGCGTGGGAACCAGCCGTATTGGGAAGTAGGGCCGGGATTCGATCTTATGATCTTTGCTTTACTACTAATAAATAACAAATACTATTTATTTGAGTCAATTTAATCACAAGGTTCTTCAAAATGTTAAAATAAAAAAGATATAAACGATAAGAAATGAATAATCCATTAATAATTCAGGTAAATTAAAAAAATACATACATGCTCACGTTTCTTATTACTCTGAGCTGATCTAGAAGGAGGATGTGATTCTGTAGATGAATAAAAAAATTTAACTGTGTTTTCTTCAATAGCATCTGCTTCAAAGAATTCCTGATTTAATGTTTCTTCTCCTCTGATAAAGAAAACACATTAATTTAGATCAGAACGTACTAACTTATCCAGATCTTATAAAAGATTCATTACCCAATAATAACTCGGCTACACAAACAATAAACATGATCACTGTCAACAGTCTCGTTTAAACTGATATAAAATTCAGCTAAATGTTCATAATTGCTTTCTTCGAGCATAGTAAAGTTATTTAAATAAAAATCAATCAAGCTACCACATCACTTAATTATATACTTTTCAACTTCAAATCAGCAATGAAATAACCAAGAGATCCCCTCCGATCCCCTGTGTTTAAGTAAAGATGAACTATCGATAGATTAGATTTATACTATCGATAGTTCTTATATATATATATATATATATATATATATATATATATATATATATATATATATTAAGAGATTATAAATGCATAAAAGAGATTATACAATATACAGGGTGTTCAGGGTTAAGTGGCCAAACTACGAAAATGAACTAAGGACTTCAAAACAAGACAAAAATGTCCTCTGAAGGTATGTCCGCAAATTCTTTGTTTAGGAGATATTCACACCTAAAGATTTTCGTTATTATGAATTATTTACGTTATATGAAATAAATAAACTCTATTTATTTGTTCTAACTACTTTATTAATTAAATGTGAACATTACCATTCATATTAAATGTTGTTCAAAGTGATTTCCTTGAGCATTAAAAGAGGTTCGGCATTTTTTTTCAACAGCAGCAGTGGCAGAACGGTACTGGATAGTTGTTATTGTTTCACAAGATTCAATTATCCTTCTTAGTAAGGAATTAAGTTCATTGACCGGACTTCCATAGACTTTTTGTTTAATGTCACCCCAAACACAAAAGTCCATTGGTGTCAGGTCTGAAGAGCGTGCAAGATAAGTCACTGGTCCTGCACGGCCAATCAATTGATTGGGATATGGGATATGATTGAGCAAGTCCGGTCAATGACCTTCATTCCTTAACTTTGCCACTTAACCTTTTTTTTTTTTTTATTGGCATTACAGACCATGTAGATCTTTTGCCACCTTAACAAGCCTGTCCCATCTCTGCCTGTCTTGGTTTATTTCTTTCCATTTATCTGCACGCAGCTATGTTGCATATTGGTTATATCTATCCATCTGCTTTTTGGACTTCCACTTGGTCTTTTCTCTTCTATTGAGGCAGTCATTGTTACGTAGAGGCTTCCAGATGGATTGCTACGAGCTACATACCCCGTCCATATCCTACATCCTCCGTGCCTTCATATCATGGGATATAGATTGACCAGTTTCTGTAAGCAGTTCCTTATTGTTCTTTCTTCTTCATGTGTTAGTACTCTGATTCAGATCGCTCCGGTTATCGTGCGGAGGATTATCCTCTCAAATCTTTCAACACTTTTTTCTAGGGTGCTGGTTAATGTCCAGGTCTCACAGCCTCATATTAGAACTGGCTTTATCATAGCATTGTACAACCTTAGTTTGAAATTTCTTGAAACTTTTCGGGATTTCATTACCTTAAGGCTCGGTCACACAGAACGCGATATTTATCGCGGCGATATAGCGCCACAGTTGTATTACTATCTATTCTACTATAACAGTCACATAGAGAGCGTTACGCTACAGCGATACATGCTGTAGCGCCGGGGCCGGCGATAAATTGATACAAATTACAAAAATATCGCCCTCCTTCGGCGTTATTCTCTACCTAATGTAGGCAGAAAAGTTAGCTAATACCCAAGTTAATAGGATTATTGCAGGATTATAACGGCGTGTTCACACAGAAGGCGTTATTTAGCGCCGCGCTACAGCGCTACAGTTGTATTACTATCTTTTCCACTATAGCAGTCACATAGAGGGCGTTACACCTCAGCGATACATTCTGTAGCGCCGGGGCCGGCGTTACGTTTGAAAAATATTACAGGTGTATCGCCGGGGCCGGCGTTATGTTTGAAAAATATTATAGATACAAATTACAGTTGAAATTATTTAGTGGTAGTATTCATATAGATATGTTAAACACCGAATTATTTATATAAAAAGTGAGGAATTTTCCATTTTTATTTGATATGAGACCTCAAGCAAATATTTAAAAAAATTATTAAAAAGGAGGTTACATGGAAAAAAATTGTGGAAGAGCTAAATATCACAAGTAATGTATTAATTGATATTATTATTATAATTATTGAACATTATAATAATTATGTGTTATATACTTTTCTATCTTGAAATCATTTAAAAATTATACTTACGTTCTTTTGCTAATTTTAATTTTGCCTATACTAAAGACATAAATGATAAAAAAAAAATCTGTGTATATTGCATATTTAAAACGGTTGAGGAACAGATAATAACTATCCAAGATATATATGGCAATAAAAGAAATTCGTTACTACGAAATTAATATTAAATAGATATGTCATTTGAAGTAAATAATAATTTGAAATAAATCTGGTTTTACATAAAAAAAAGGAGAACGAAAGTTCATTATTAAAATATCTTCTGGAATATATTAAAAAATTATATATATTTGGTTATTCCTGTATTTCTTGCTTTGAAATACAGGAATAACCAAATAACATATCTTTTTATAATTTTGTGTTCATTAGCACAATTTTTAAGAATTGGAATGTAATACAATTTTGTTAAAGAGAAACAAGCTTCATCGCTAGAAACCGGCAGTAAATATTCGAAAAACGTGTAGCAAAAACTTTAACACTAGCAAAAAATTGTTGGAAAGCCTAATAAATATAAAGCAAACAATTTCTTAATAAAACAAATTAAAGTGAAACATAGTTTATTTATTTATAAAGTTATGGCCTTATTGTTAATTTAATTTTTTTATTATATTATTAAAAAATAGTTGGTTTTTCGATTGTAGATTGTCAAGTCCCCATTTATTTAGTGTTGAATGGAGTGATTCGTAATTTTTGACTAGTGGTTCACGTCAATAGTCATCTCAACAAAAATAATCAAACCAATCGTCCTCTCATATTTATTATTAGAAAAATTAAATTTTGAAATGCCACCAAAACAGTTGTTAATTAATTGGCTTAACCTCAAAACTATAAGAAAATATATTGGTATTTTGACTTTTGCTTACCTATGTATGTAATATATAACAAAGGGAAAGTATTCCTATCGCTAAAATTTTCGAATCTGAGTTTTCAACGGAAATACACGTTTTGAGGTCCCCTAAGCCCAAATAACCAAGTCCTGCTAAAGGGTCTGTGTGTCTGTTAGTCTGTGTCTGTGTGCAAGTGAACAGCCTAGCCCGAAAACGAAAACTCGCACGAAACTTAAATAGCGTATTTAAGGTTTTTATGTATAAAATCAGCTAATCGGAAGTATCACTTTATATCAACAGCGAAACACATATTTACAGTTTTCCCAAAAACTGCTCTAACGATTATGATTAAACTCGGTGTACCATTGCATAATTAAGTGGTCTTTAATATCATTTAGGTCTTTTCCCCATTAATCTCACTTTACAGAGTTTAAATGTACAATGTTTATATACATCTTTCCCTAAAGCACCTTTAATATGGATTATTTGAAAAAATCAACTCTCTTATATTGACAGTAACTATAAAAAATGTCTAAATATGAAGTATAAAAGAATATGGCTAAATATGATGTTCAAAAGAATATGATAACTGGAAACTGAAGAAAAAAGAAAAATGCTTATCCTGGTTAAAAATGAATGTCCGGAAATAACAGTCAGAAGGTATACGTATAATATATCGTTAGAAAGCGAAGAATTTCAGAAAAAATAAAATTAAATAAATAAATGTAATAAATAAATAGAAGGTAACGCAGAGTGACAAAAAAATAATAGAAATAATAATTTCAGAAAACTAACATTACTTAACGTAAATCACATGTTTCCAATGAAATTAAGCGAAATTCCTTTACTAAATGTAAACTTTTAAAGTACTTTTCTAAGTTTGAAAAAAAGTATTTAAAATCCTTCGAATCATGCCAATGTCATTGTTTAAAATACTATTTAATTCTACTTGTGTGAAAGAAGTGAGATATAAAAATATTTCATGTATATATTTATAACCATAAATACTTTTGATGTGGTTCTATAACTCTAGATATGATATTATATTTAAATTATTTGGTATTTATTAGCCCTTTCTTAAAATCGTCAAGTAACCTTTTAGGAAATTAAATGAGTGAATAATTTTATGAATTTTCCCTTTGTGAAGCACCAACATTGTCGACTTCCAATTAGTGTGAAAATTTTCAACCTAACCATGGCAGGCAACGAAAATCTCGTAATTTCATTTTAGTAAATTTTATAATGGAAAATGACAGTTTCAACATTCTTCATTATTAATTTTAGTGATGTTTCTATTGGCGAACTTTATGCCTTTATTCGCAGTTCTATATGTCAACGTTGAAATCACCTACTCTGGAATCAACTTGCTCACTGTCTGTATAGATACAACTTTTCCAACTAGAAATATCACTAAAATGACATTACTCAAAAATCTTGAAATTATAGTTATTCATTATGTCAACTGAGAGACCTCAGAGACTGAAGTTATTTGGTTTATAAAACTAGATTTTCATTGGCTACTGTCGATATAATAAATAGACTTTTTGTAATTTTACTGGTCTTAAAGATTTGTTATCTCTAAGCTTTAAACTTTAGCTCCGTTTAAAATGCACTTCAATTTTTTTTAAATAACCCAACATTGCCACAAAATTATTTCTATTAAAAGTAGTGGGGTAAGTGAAAGTTATGTGTTACCCGCACCAGATTTTTTTTGTTACTTGTTTAAGCTGTTTAAGCTGCGGCAATAATTTATTAAATTATTTAGATTTTACTGACCTAAATGAAGTTGGTTGGTGGTTTGTCTCTCTGGATAAAGAACATCCAGGTTATCAATCAATCCCCGATCAATTAAATAACACTACTTTTAAACTAATCAGGTTGTAGTTTCAAAATAAAAAAGCGTCTGCCAAGTAAGGTCAGTATAGCTTCCTCACCGTTGTCATTGTATATTACAATGTATACCATTTTTTGTATGAGAATAAAATCTCTGGGAGAAGCCGATTCGTAAATATAGTTACCCTTCAACATTCAACAAAAGAGTGCTGTATTTGAAGATCCCATATTTGATTATCCTTAATAAAAAAAAAATAAATAAAATGCACCCTGAACATGAATTTCAATACTGTTAGTGTAAAAGGTCTTATGTAATAATTTATTGTTTTACAAGAGTGCATAAAACTTATTATTTCTTTATGCTTTATTAGAATAATTTCATATTTTATTGTCAT